TTTAGCGTAATTTTATGACTCAACTACTAGCGGTACACGTGCAGTAAATACAAACGATAACAATCATTATGAAAGGTGTACTTGTTATAAACTCACGTTGTCAATAACTCGCGTCCTTGGCTGTGTCACCCAAAGAAGCAAGAGGAAAAAGAAAAGTGCAAAACATTCAATGAGCGGGTAGAGAGAAGATCGTATAAGAGAGGTAGAGCACACACGGGTTAGTGAATAAGTGACAAGAGGAAAGGGGAAGAGGGGACAATTTTGTTCCCCCAAAAGGTGAAGTTTGCAAGCTCATCACTTGCCACGGCAACAATTGCCATTTTATTGTGTTAACTTCATCCGCATGGAGACTGGCAAGTCAACGGCGTGCTTTGCATTAGTATATCACAGAATCTGGGATAGAATGAGTGTCCCAATCTCCATTCAGTGTGGACTGGAGACTTTACCTGGAGCGCCTGGCTGTCCTTGATCTCGACGCGGTTCGGGTCGAGCGGTTCGGTGCCGTTGTACCAGGTGACCGTGGCGGAGGGCCGCGCCCCGGACACCACGCACTGCAGCGTCACGCTCGAGCCCTGCACCACATGCTGGTCCACGCCGGTGAGCTCCAGCGCCAGCGGACGCACTGCAAAAAAAACAAAACAAGTACTCACGTTATTTTTTTCACGTAATTTTTTTTTCACGTTAGTCTTTTTTTCACGTAATTTTTTTTTTACGTTATTTTTTTAAAAAAAATTGTTCACGTTATTTTTTTTGTTTTTTTCATGAAATGATTTCTTGATAATTCCTTGAGAGCTGCTTGTGTGGCCTCAGCCCCTGCAGGGTAGGCAGCGCGCGCCCTGCGGAGCACGCCTGTGCGGCGGGACTGCCTATCCCGCGGTCCGCAGGCGCGCACAGGCCTGGCTCTGAGCGGGAGGCGGAGCAGGGGCAGGGCGTGGCGGGGCGCGGCTGGGGCGAGCCTTGCCAGCGCGGAGGCCAAAGTTAACGGTCTGCAAAGGCCTCTAACCCGCCAATGAGTCTGGCACGGGCGACGATTAGCCGACGCGGAGCCACGCTAAGGAGGCGGACGGGGGTAAAAAATAATGCAAGGGTTTACGAAGAAAACTCGCTAAAAATAAAGCAAAGATTTGGCAGTTGGAGATTTCATTTTTCATGGAAAGGGGAACATTTTGGTTCGCCGCTGTTTTTTCTCTGGTTTCCAGGAAAGTGCCGTACATGGTCAAAATGCAAAGCGTATTGCTCAATTAAAACAGCAAGATCTACTACAGCTCGTGAGCTCAGTATTTCACCTGTCTGCCCTCCTTCTAAGTAAAGACAGGCCACCGCAGACAGACTTCTGCGCACAACACGCAGCAAATCGACCCCCCCCCCCCCCAGTAGCAGCCGTCGCCGTCACAGATGTGACTTAATCTATGACCCCGAGATATATAATAAAGGATGTGTGGTCGGCGAAGTGGAAGGTGGGGCAGCACGACTGAAAGAGGATTGAGAGAGAAAGCGCGCGCGTTTTGAGAGACAGAGAGAGAGTTGTTGGAGAAGAAAGCTTGGTATCTCTACTTATCGCAAAGCAATGAGCAGACCCCAGGCAGGGTGCGTCTTCATTGGGATACAACAGTGGGACTCATTGGCTGCCCAGTGTGCGGCACAGTCCGGCAAGCCGAGAGCAGGCCCGGCCCCGGCCCCAGCCGTGCACCCTGCAGAAGCAGCAGCTGGGTGCAGGCGGGGTTCAGGCAACGGGGAGAAAATATTTTGCTCTTAGAGAGATCTAGTCGTCGCTAATACAGTGCCTTCAATTTATTTTGCGATGAACCGGCAACAAAAATTGCTGTTATTTGATCGCTTAGCCGCTACAGAAAATCTCTTTGCAGTCTCAGCCAATGTTATGGCTCTTTTATCAAAACAACATTGCATGATCAAGCTATATTATAATATGATCCAGCTGCAAGTCTATCGTCTTCGTGCAAGAAGAAAACATGAAGGAGGTCGCGTCACCTCGACGGCATCAGGAAGGGCAGCGGAGCAGAGAAAAGCGGTCCACCACAGCGCAGACAAGAAACGGTCACGACCGTCACGACGCACTCACTCAATTCCACGAGTGCCTACTCAACTTCGGGGTCGCTTGGTTGCCAACATCACTCAAACACCAACAGCGTCTCGCGTTCTCGTTCTCGTTCTCTACCCCCCCCCCTCTCTCTCTCTCTCTCTCTCACTCTGTGGTGTCTGATATACGACATGCAAAGCGGTCGCGATACCATGATTAATGCTGAGCTTCGGTTTTAGATTTATGGCGCGGCCCGCAGCCCGCCATACTGGGCTCTCCTTTCTCTTCTTTTATTCTTTGTGTCCCGCCGGTCCCGCCGCCGCGAGGAGCCCGCCCGGCCCAGCCCCGCCGTGCCTTTTCCTCTTCGCTTTCTCAACAGAAAATTTTATGCGGATTAGAACTTTTTATTCCCCTTCCCCTCCCTCCTCCGTTCCATCTTCCTCGGCCGTCAGTATTTCTCCTTCTACTTTCTATATAAGACGCAGTTGTCGGACACCCTCCCTACCCCATATACTCTCTCTCTCTCACTGCTGGTCCAGATACCCCCTTGCATCCCCACCGCATCCTCAGCGATCACATCAATACTTATACGTAAAGAAAGCCAGGATGTTCGGGTTGGACGCAATTTATTGCAGATCTAAAAAGACTTTTACAACGATGAAGTGTGCAGCTGGCCGGCAACGGTACAACACAACTTTGCACACTTGAATATGTTTGACTGGAAATTTCAATACCGAAAAGTGTTAAACAGTAAAGTTGGAAACTTAGAAGTCACTGTAGGGTTGTCCATGAAGCTTTGGACACTTTAAGGAGTTCAAATTTCCAGTCCAGCACCTAAGAGTGTGCAACACAGTATTTAAGACTACCATGTGCATGCCAGATGCACAGTTGTGCAGAATACACTTTTTCTGCAGTAGTTGATTTATAAAAATTCTTGTTTTTTATTTTTTAAATATCAAAGAAACTTACATGTGCAAAATAATGTGAAAATTGCAAAGATAACCAACAGGACGGACGAGCTCGTGTATAGGATTCTATTAAAGCCTCACACCACACTTACAAAAAAAGTAAAGGGCTAACGTCTGATACAGCCTAATCTGCATATATGATGGGGTTTCTTTCGGCAAGGAGAGAAACTTAAAATATGAAAAAGGAAAAAATAAAATAAAAATATATATGCGATGTACAGAGTTTGTAAACGACCCCTCAAAAACCTGCCAGCTGAAAGAAGCGCGCGAGCGAGGCGCATAGCTAGCGGTCGCGAACTGGAACACACACGCCGGCCCCCCGGCCAGCCCCCGCGCACCCAGAGGCCTCGCCGCACTCGGACATGTTTCTTCCCTCTTTATTCCCTCGCCCAACGCGACACGTACTTTCCTCTTTTTTCCATCCTGCTACGCACAATTATTTTCACAGAGTTCGTTTTCTCTCTAAGCCCATGGGCTTACCGAGGAGACAAGCTCCCGCGCTCGCAACTCCCTCCGCCGCATCGCCCTCACGCTCCACAGTCGCGTCTATCCTGTTTGCTTACACCGCCCCCCCACCCTAACAGAGAGCAACAAAAATGAGGTTAATGCAATCCAAAGATTTTTTCTAAAAAAAGGATTAGTTCACTGCCGCAATAATTTTCTCCCCAATCGATCCGAAAGGCCCCTTTCTTTCCAGCTGAATAATTGTTTACCACCAGCGGCGGGGAAGTCTCCAGCTATTTTGCTCCCTCTTGCTGTCCTCTTCATTATTTTTATTGTCATAATCACCGCCATTGTGTTGAGGGACTCTCCTCGAACTGCCTCAATTGTCACCACCCGAAAAGTCAAATAATCGTCTGAAAGCCGACAGCAGTGGAGCGTATCCCCCGAGAAACTAAGTTGTTGCGCCGTCCATGATCAT